GGCTTGCGAGCCATTCATGAAAGGCCGCAGATAAGATCGCGCGGGAAGGGCTGCGGCTGCCCCGGTGGAGCAGCGGAGCAGCGCAGTGGCCGCGGCCGGCCGATAAGGACAGCGAGCTTCGGGCAGGGGCAGAACCTCGGCACGAGGTGGGATGAGGAGCCTCTGCCTGCCACAGCTGTCTCCAGCAATGACTGTGCGGGCAACACAAGCTACCTCTGGTGGCCCCATGGCAAGTGAGAGTGACGTGGCAGAGAGACAAGGGATGCCCAGGTTTGCCCCAGGCTGCCAGAGCAGCTCCCTCCTCCCTACAAACATTTTTTCTCCATCCTGACTTGATGCAAGCAAGCCCCTCTTTTCCTGCCTGTACCCACTGGCAGGCTGTGGGATTCCACCCTGACCCTCTGGGCCACACTGAGGATGGTGTGGGGGACCTTGGCTCTCATGCCAGGCAGACTGGCAGGCTGAGCCAGCACCATGCTCCACTGGGAACCTAACGGAGCACACAGCCAGGAAACAAACACTTGCAGGGATGAAGAAATGCATGTGTGCCCTGGAGGGGGTGGATGTGGGGGCTGCACAGGGCACAGCACGGGTGCAGGTGAGTGTAAGCATGCGTTTGTGCACAGGGAACTGTGTGTGCAGCTGTGTGTAGATGAGTGTGGCTCTGGGTGCATGTGTGTCTGGTTCTGTGGCTCTGTGTGTGTGTGTGTGTCAAAGGTCTGCACACTAATCTTTGCTTCACTCCACACCCAGACAGCAGGAGAACAAAGTGTAACAGATAAAGCTGGATCCTCTCTGGGCCAGGGGAGCGGGGAGGGGATGGGGACACTCAGATCCACTCAAGGCTGGAGTCCAAAGCCTGCCTGTGGCTTCCCAGTGGCAGAAAGGGCAGGCTGAGCCCCCCTTGCTGCTCCCTGCTGGATGGGGGTGGAGGGCAGGGCTGATGCCAGGATGGGTTGGTTGGTGCCCAGGAAGGTGTCTGTCTTCCTTGCAGGTTTCATCCCTCCTGCTGGAGTCATGGACATGAATGACCCTTTAGCTATAGGACACATATGCCACTAGGGTCTGCTTTTTGGCCAGCTTCTATGAAGGAACTACCATGTCCCTGCCCACTGCTACAGGACAGAGTGATGCTCTGGTCCCAGAGCCCTGCCAGCATTCCCAGGAGTGTTTGCCACTGAGCAAACACACATCCCAATGCCTCCTTGCCTGGCCTCTAAGCCCTGAGCTATGCTGGACCATCACTAGGTTCCAGGGAGCAGGAGGGATGCTGAGCACCCCAGACAACCTGGGGATGGTCTTGCCCGAGATGTCTCAGCCCCACAGGGCCAGGGTTGCACCAGAGGTTGCACAAGCAGCATCCGAGGCCAGGAAAGTGACTGCACTTCAAAGGCAGGAGAGGGGCTGGCAACGGGTGGCCGACACAGCCCAGATCAAAGGCACAAGCTGGAGTCATAATTCAGAGAAAAGCAAACAGCAGCTCCCAGGAAAGCCGGGAACTGTGGTGCAGTGAGCAAAGTGTACTAGATAGCACTGTGCGGGTCAATGCCCTGGGAGGGTGGGAGAGTCCCCTGCAGAGCCATCCAGCCCTGGGTGCCACTATCCCACTGCCCACCCCCTCTCCCCGCAACCGAGGCATCCACAGAGAGCACCAAGGCAGTGGGGCAGGCTGTGCACCCAGATGAAAGGTGTTGCTCACCTGCCTCCACCCCAACCCTGCTGGGATATGGGCTGCAGTGCAGGATGGCACCTGGGACATGCACTGAGCCCTGACTGAGGATCCAGACAAGGCAGCTGCTCTCACAGTGTCAGCTACCCAAAGCCAGGACAAGCAGGCCTGTGGTGTCCCTGGAGACATGCCAATGCTGTGGAATGCCCACCACACTTGTCACCATCTGGTGTTCCTGAGACCTGCACACATGCACCTCTTGTGGTGGCACCCTGGGGATGTGCTGGGATGAGGGTGCCCAGTACCAACAGGAAGGGATGGGCATCTGGGGTAACACAGGGGGCTGTAGGTGCAGGGCACTAACTGCACATGTTTCCAGGAAAGGCCCAGCTCTGGAAAGCCTGGGGTGGAATTTGGGAGTCACTGGCCACCTCCTGCCACTGCCCTTCCCAGTGACCCGAGCCCGCAGGCTCGGAGCCAACAGACGCTCGGGCCGGCGCACGCTACAGCAAGTGAAGTTGCCTGAGGCACAGGCTGAATTTAAAGATCAATGTTGCTTTGGCAGTGGAGATCTGATTACAGCAACTACTGCAGTTCCCTCTGCCAAAATAGAAAGCAAAAAAAAAAGGTACTGACTGCAAAAGGGTGGGAGAAAGGGAGCAAACTGTAAATCATTTTTATATATCTGTATCTGTGGATGTATCTATATATTCATACCTATCTGCCTGTCCATCAGTATTTCTTAACCTCCTGTTTTCCACTGAGGTGCAGACATCTTCAACATGTTCTCATCAGCTCCCCAAACAAATGTCACAGACATTGCCAAATTTCAGTTCACAGGACAGTGACTCAGCAGGGAGCAGAGCGTGCTGTGCCGGCCACCAGCCACCTGATGGCCCCGGAGGCTGAGAGGGACAAGGAGGTGACCCCTGAAGGGGCTGGGTGGGGGACAAGCTCTGGATACCAGTGACTTTCCCCTCCCACCTTGCCCCACCACCCCAGCACATCCACAAGCTGAACCTTGCCACAGCCAACTTGCTGTCCCCAGTCTGACATCAGCCCTGGCCTCCAGTGACTTGTTTTTCCCTGATTACCCATCTCTGGGATAAACATGATGCCAGAGGTCCAGGGAGAAGAGGCATGAGCAGAGAGCTGGCACCCGGGGGAGTGCTGGCCAGGTTGCCCCACACAGCTGGCCAGGCACCAGACAGCAATGCCTGGGGAACTGGCACGGCTCACCCTGTATGTTATGACTACCTGGCCACAAGGCCAAGTGGGATGTCCCAGTATCAGCAGGGACTCAAGGATGCGACAGTGGCACGGGAGGCTCTGCAGCACAGCCTGAACTGAGATTAGCCCAGCCAGAGGGGCTGCCCAGCCAGAGGAGGCAGGTTCCTGACGTCATGCTGGGAGCAAACTGTGCTCACTGGCAGCCCTGCTGCTGTGGGGGCAGCTCACGGGGAGCAGGACTGCAGCCTTGCTCAGTGCCCTTCATCCTGGAGGGCTCTACAATGGGGCTGTACCCCAGCATGGGGGGTGGCAGTGCCAGTGGTGGGCAGAGTACAGTATCCATCTTCCAGGCATCTTGCCTTCACCCGTCCCTGCCCTTCTCAAGAGGCAGTAAGAGATGGCAATGTGGATGTCCTCTTGACATCCCCTTTGCAAGAGGGGCACGTCACCCAGCCCGACACCTTGCTACTGATGCAGAAGCATCACCTTTGCCTGGCCAGGGCCTGGGGAGAGGTCTGCAGGCAGGCTGAATAGTGCAGGGCCCCTGCACTGGTGCCAAGCACCAGAGTCTAAATCGGTCGTGCTCAAAGCTGCGGACTGACCCTTTCATTATCACACCAGACGTTCAAAGTGGTTACCAACATTCCTCACTACAAACCCTACATTCCTATTTTTTAATATATTTTTAACTGGAAAACAGAGCGAACGGGGTCTGTTTGGAAATTACAGCCTGGCTGCTGTGGCTTGTATGTCAGATCTGCCCACATTCCCGTGGCCAGCCTCAGCACATGCTCCACAGGGGCACACTTAATAATTCCTG